GGGAAGGAGCGCGCGGGCTGGGGTCCCCGGGGGGCGGTGCTCGCAGCTGGCCGCGTCCGGGACGGCCGAGGGGCTGGCCGTGGGCGGGAGCAGCCGGCGGCCTCAACCCCTTCCGAGAGCGACTTTCAAACTCGCGCCGGCGTTGCAGCGGCACCTGGGCAGCCCCGCGCGCCGTGCGTGTCCGGAACCCGCGGGGCGGCGACCGCTCGGTGAGTGTCCCTCGGTTCTCCCCTCTCCCTCTACCTGGGTGCAGTCGGCGAAGTGGCAGTTCCCGGAGTCACGCTGGAGCTCTCGCACGGGGTGAGGACCCAGGACGACCTAGAAGGGCCGGGGGTTGTGTTGGCTCCTCCCGGCCGACCCTCCCGGCAGAGGGCTAGAGCGCGGGAGGGTCGTGCAAGGAGTCGTGTTCTGTCCTTTTTGCCCCCACCCCGGAAACAAAAGGAGCGAGTGCTCCGGGTGGCTTCTAGGAGGCTCAGTTTGAAATCCGGGAAGCCCGCTTCGCTGCGCCCACTCTTGCGCGCCCGGGCGCCGAGAGCTGGTCCTTGCCTCGGACCGTGGGCCCCAGCGGGGTGGACCCTCCTGGGGAAGGACTCGAACCTCCCGGGTCCTGCGAGCCCGAGAGGCGCCTGCAGCCTGTTCCGGGTCGGTGCCTCACGGTGCTAGCTGTTGGGAATCTCAGCTACCTGTCCAGGAGGGATTAGAGTGGGTGTCAGAAACGGAGTGTCCGGGAGCCGAAAGCACAGAGGCCACCGACTGCCTCGACCTCGCCCAGCCCTGAAATCGGTTTGGTTACTTACTCCCCACTCTCAGATCTTTGGTTTGGAAAGCCAGGATAAAGCGTGCAAGCTCGAAATTTTCAAGACGTTGTTTAGTAGCTGCTTTTACTCTTTGGAGCTACTTTGAAAAGAAAAGGTAAAACGGAGTGGGAAATGTAATGTTTGGAGGCCGGAGAGGTGTGGCCTTGGGGGGTGGCGGCGTGGTAGAGGCCGTGTAAGAGTTTCGTCTTCGAGGTCACTCGCTAAGCTGTTGGCAAATGTAGGAGCCTGACCCCCAGCTCGGGGGGACCCCAGCAGGCGACCCAGACCGCATCATCTTACAGGGAATCCTGGAATGGGGGTTCCAAGAGTCTCCCCAGTCGTGCCTCTACGTGCAGCCCAATCACATAGCACTTGTTCAAGAAATAATCGTCAGGGAGAGTAATGGCAGTCCAGAGAGGGGGAGGGGCTTCCCCGCTGAGCATATTAACCGCCTCACCTTCAGGACAGTGACTTTCCGTCTCCTTTGCTGGACTAGGAGTGGAATCCTGAGTGACTAAACCTCAGCCATCCCCAGCAGGAAACCTAGGGAGTAAGAACCAAAAAATGGCCTACCCTTTCTGTTATTCACCCCTTTCCAGTGGTTCTGGGCTGCCATCTAGCTGGCATGGCCTCGTCTCTCCTTTGTACACCCCGCTGTTAACACTCCTGCTACCTCTGATGCCACGGACCCTCCTGGGAGGTTTGGACAGCCGCTTGGCTCCCTGGGTATCTTGCCCTGGGGATGGAGCGGGGAGTTGGGGATGAGGTAAGCCCCCAGGCCAAGTCCTAACTGCTGAAGGAGTGATTTATTTAAGAGCTGCTTTGGGGGTTTTTCTACTGCCTTTTATTAGATGTGGCATAGGAGGGAGAGTGGAAAGAGCACTGGACTGGGAGTCCAGCACAGGCTTTTGCCTGAGTTTTGCTCCCTGCTCTTCAGCAGAGCATCAGATTGATAGGGGCACTTGGGCTGAAAGGCCCCTCAGATTAGCCTACTCCCTTTGCACATGAAGGCAGCCAGAGAGGGGAGGTGATTTCAGTCTGGGTCTCTACTGGCCAACTAGGGACCAGAACTCAGATTTCCTCACTGTCTAATCCGTGATTTTTTCAAGATGACCTGGACAATCAACTTATCTTTTCTGACTTAGTTTCCACATGAATAGAGCGGGGTTACTTGTCAGCTTTTCCTTACAGGGTCTATGATAAGAATCAAATAGGGGCTATGATAAGAATCCTCATATGCTCCATAAATTCCTGTACAAAGTAAAGGGCTCATGATTTCTGGCCCAGGCTGAAATCACCTCCCCTCTCTGGCTGCCTTCATGTGTAAAGGGAGTAGGCTAATCAGAGGGGCCTTTCAGCCCAAGTGCCCCTATCAATCTGATGCTTTGCAGAAGAGCAGGGAGCAAAACTTGGGCAAAGCCTCAAGGGCTTTATAATTTACTGGATATACGTGTGCCAGAAGGTGGTAGATACCAGGAGCTAATGGTGGAAGTTTACATCCCTGGCCTTAATATCTCAGTTCCAGAGTAAACATTTGCCTTGCCAAATCCCCAGCTATCCCAGGGTCACTGTGTTTACACCAGACGAGGCTAAAGGCCATGGCCTGAGGGATGACCAGGGCTGGAGAAGGAAAAGGTCTGGGTTTCAGATGTACGGTTTGCCCCGCCATTCCCACCTGAAGGCTCTGGCCCCAAACCTGGGGGGTGGCCATGAGCCCAGGCTGGATCCTGGCCTTAGAGGGTTAAATGTGAAGCCATCTAGCTATTCTCTGTTGTGTTGGGGTTGAAGGGACTCTGGGCATTGGGAGAGTGTTGCCTTTGCAGCTGCACCAAGTGCTGTCTTTAGCTCCTCATCTGTGCCCCTCCCCCATCCCAGGCTGCCCCTCTGGCCCAGGCCACTGCTCTGTCCCGCCTCTCTGGCCAGCTGCATGTCCACAAGTCTTTGTTCCAGGGCTGCAAGCCCGCCCTACTCCACCCTCCCTCCCCAGCAGAAGCCCTTAGGCTGAGGCCCTGGCAGCTGGAAACCACTACTGCCAGCAGGAAGGCTCTACTGGAGCCTCCAGGGGACCTGGCAGACCCTCATTTCCTATTGTCAGTTTCCTCTTGGGACCCCCAACTCCACCCCTGGCCAGATTCCCTGTCTTCTTTCAGCTCTCCTTTCTTCCCTGGAATGGAGGGATCATCCATCCCCCTTTTCTTCCTATGTTCATGCCTGTTAGTTCTATTTAAAGTACTCATTCATTCAACAGTTATTTATTTAGCACCTACTGTGTATGAATGCTAGATGCAGGGGACACAGCAGTGAACACAGTACACAATCATTGACCTAATGGAGCTGACTTCTAGTGGGGAAGCTGACAATAAACAAGCTAGATTGAAATACAGTGTTAGTGATAAGTGGAAAAATAAGACAGGGAAGGTGGATATGGATTGTCAAGGAAGGGGTGAAATGACAGTTTGGGTGGGATGGCCACGGGGGCTTCCCTGAGAAGGCACTTTTGAGGTGATGCCCAAAGGAGGTAATTTCCTTCGTTTCTGATTTCCCTTTCTTGAAACCCAGTTCAGCATCCCAGTGTGGCATTTAGGAGTAGGGTTTGGAGTTGGACACACCTGGATTCAAATCCCGTTTGACAGCTTACCAGCCCTGCGGCCTTTGACGGGTGCTAAACTCCTTTGAGCTGGTGTTTCTCACCTATAAAATGGAATTACTCATCATACCTACCACATGTGGCATGGAGAATGAACAATGCCCTAGCGTATGTTCGATGTTAGCAAAGGCTATAGAGGCATTCATTGAATTATTTCTCCAACCAACTTCTGCAGGGGTAGCATGAAATATTGAATGCCATTGCTAAGGACTCTATATGGGAAAGCTTTTCATTTTAAGCATTGGGCAGGATGGGAGAATTAGAGGGTGGTGAAAATAGAAAAGTCTAGTGAAGACTTTCTAGTTAGTGAGCCTTTTCTACCCGAGATTACAGATGGTTGAGGATGCAGGACACCCAGGTGATAGGGTGACCCGGGCCAGCAGCCCTGACCTCCCTGGCTTTGGAATTCCCCAGCTTCCAACCAGTCGCAATGAATCACACCTTATCCCTGGCCTCTCCACTCTGCCTCATAGCTGGGAAGGCTGTCCACCCCTCCCCCAACCTTGGGTAGATAAGTTGTGCTGGTGGGGGGTAGGCAGGGGAAGTAAGGGAGAGGGGCAGACGGTGGGTGGAGCTCTTCTAGAAGAGCCCACAGAGATAGCAAGAGGCTTCTGATGGAGGCTCTGAGGCAGCCCCACAAAGACTTTCCATGAGAGTTCACCAGGGACCAGAACTTAAAGTAACAAGGACGGGTGTAGTGAGAGCCCAGGGCCAGGCCTGCCCAGCTCCATGCTGCTTCCAGCCAGAGGGCCGATGAGCTCTGCCCCTCTCAGCTGGAACCTCGGGCCTCAAAGGGAGGGGTGTGATCTGAAATATTGCTGTCAAAATTTGCGGTAAGCAGTTTCCTGGGGGCCCTGCCCTGGCTCAGGAAGTGAGGGGTGGGCCGGGGAGGGCGAGGCCCAGGGAAGTGGTCATCAGTGAGACCACTTCCCCTGAGAGCCTGTAGCATGCCCAGGGCAGCCAGGCAGGCTCTGTGATGAAGGAACTTTCCAGGCCTGCCAGTTGGTGCCTGGAATCCGAGTAAAGCTGGATATAATCTGGCCTCAGAGGAAGTTGCAGAGAGGGCCCTAAACAGCCCCAAGCACGTTTGCGATGTTGGGTGACCTGAAGCCAGGAGAAGAAAAGCTGGACAGGTGGACTGACCTGTGATCAGCAGGAGGCCCATCTGGAGATGCTGGCAGCCCCTCTGGATGTCAGCTGGCCTTGCTAAATGGGTCTGGCTCCAGTGTCTTTATTTTGATTAGAAGCTCTCTGAGGGCAGGAGCTGCATTTGCTCATCTTCGTTCCCATACAGCATCAGGAGCAGTACACAGTGTGACCAACAGGGCGTGATGGGCTTGTGCTGGGGTCCTGTGCTGACGGTAATCTGGCTTGGTGGTCACATCTGCTCCAGCTTTTGTTCCATGGGGTTAGAGGAAGAAGGCAGTGGTAGGGGTCATGTCCAGCCCTGGGTGGGCTGTTGCAGTCTGAGTATGCAAGCAAAAGGGAGAATGGGGCTTTGTACAGTTCTCTTGGCTGACCTTTGGGGAGGGAGCCCTGATTTAAGCTCAAGGAATGGGTTTTTAAGGACTTGTGCTCTGTTTTCATGCTGAGCAGACTCTGAGGCTGAACGCAGAACCTGAACCAAGTTCTATGGGGCATGATGTTAGCTACACAGGCAGCCTTTTGTGAAACATGGTTTGAAGATCCTGGAAGTTCTAATTATTGCTGGAGTCTGAGCTGAGAATGTAAGGAAGGGGTGCAAGAGGAGTGAAGTCTATTTTAC